GGGGGGAATCCTTGCAGGGAGCCGTGAGTGACAGTCACAGCTCTCTGCAGGGACAGGATCGAGAGGTGAGCGAACGCCGGTATGTGTTCGCTCACTTCCCGATCTACTGAGCCGACCTGTGACAGTCTCATTGTCACACGTCGGCCCGAACTATGAGGTTGAGTGACAATCACTCACCTCATAGTTTCCTTTAAGAAACGAGGTTCGCACCGAGGCGATTGAGCTGGTGAGCCATTTTCGTGCGGTTGTTGCATGTTCCTGTTTGCACGATTTTGCTTTGAAAACCGCACGGTTTTCAATGCATAGAGATGTTTATGGGACCCAAATCGCACGTCAACCGCCCAAAAATAGCTCCTGCACCTTTTTGCATGACAGGTGATTTCTACCGCACGACAAATCGTAAAAGGTGTCAACAGCTTCCAAAGACTTGAATGCAAATCTCTGTTTTGTGTAGACATGTGCATTTAATATATGCCCGAACATACTAAAACTATATTCGGGCATACATAAATTTGTTTTCAGAAGACGCCGGCAGCCATATTCTGGTCATACCCGCCATCTTGGAGGCGGAGCGTATGACGTCACCAGGGCCGGATTTCCCACAAGGCCAACGAGGCCTGGCCTCGGGGCAGCAGGGAGTGGAGGGGCAGCACAGCCGCCGGGCAGTTTTTTTTTTCTACATTTAGCCCTGCTTGGGGCAAGCAGGGCTAAATGTACAGCTGCTTGTTTTGTACAAGTGATTTATTGTGGTCCCTCACTCTTCTGGGAGACTTTGAGGAACCCGGCCTTGGACGGCAGCAGAGAGAGTAAATCCGGCCTTGGACGTGACACACGCTGAACGAGCGGAAGCCAGATCGGCCACCGGCACATTCTGTGCATGCATGCCGCCATTTTGGAGTAGATCTTGGTATACACCAAGATGGAAGCACACAAACATGCGGGCGCCGCCATCTTGGTGTATACCAAGATCCACTCTAAAATGGCGGCACACATATCGATATGGCCGCCGCTCGTTCTGCAGTTTCGGATTCAGGGGCTCGTTGCCTCCGAATCAACATAAACATTTTTTTTTCCTTTGACGAAACGAATTAAAACGTTTTTTGTTTTCATTTGTTTTGTCTGGAAACTAATTTTTTTCTTGTGCACATGTCTAGTTTTGTGCGATATCGCGCATAAGTAACCTAGGTGTGAACCTAGCCTAAGGCAAAATACAGTTGTGAAATATGGATGGATACTTGTTTTCTGATCCTTTAGTGATTTTATTATTGTATATGGAGTATATGGATAGCGTGCATTACAAACCATTTCTGCGTTCAGCCCAGGAACAGACTTGCTTCGATCCCCCATGGTGCTTTCCGCTCCGACCTTCTCTTCTGGACGTAGGTCTATGGTGGACTTACTGTAATCTGAAATATACATTGAAGGAAGCACACTTCAGATATTGATCTTTAGGCTAGGTTCACACCTAGGCGATTGAGCTGGTGAGCTGTTATCGAGCGGTTGTCACGCCTTTTCATTTGCACGATTGTGCTTTAGAAACCGCTCGGTTGTTGCACGGATTCCAATGCATAGAGATGTCTATGGGACCTGAACCGTGCGACAGTCGCCTGAAAATAGCTCCTGCGCCTTTTTCCATCCGCACGGCAAACCGCAAAGGGGTGAGCAGCTTCCATAGACTTCAATGCGAATCTGTGTTTGTGCCCGCGGGATAAATCCCCTAAGTGTGAACCAGGCCTTAGATCTGCAGCTATATGAAGGGTCGTATACATGTACATACTATCATCTATAAATTACTTATATCTGAAGGCTGAGGAGAGGGACAGGGAATGGGGACAGCTGGGGGTCCTCTGAAAGTCCTCCTTTCCTCTCCTCCATTTTAGCTCAGTATATGACAGAGGAAGGGATACATGAAGAAAGTAGTAATAATGATGAGGAAAGGATTTTGAGTCTTATTGGTACCTATTTACATCGTCTTTTGTTCCGGGGACAAAAAAAAAAACAATAAAAAAAAAAAAGACTTTAGTTTTGAGTCTAAGAAAATAGAAAAGGAGGATAGTGTTTTATTTAATTGATTTATATGGTAACAGAAAAAAAAAAACAGAGTTTTATTGGCTGGGGTATTGATGCCTATGCCACACATCTCTTTTACCGTGTTGGCAATTGTATAATTTTCCTGAAACTATCAAGACTACAAAATTATAATCTGCAAAAATTGTGTCATACGTATACGCTGCATCACATGTTTATTTCTAAAAAAAAAATACAAAAACATTAAAAAAATTAACATTTTCAAATTAAAAAGATGCAAATGTAAAAAAAGAAATTAAAAAATGACTGAAAATGGGTTTTTATTTTTTTCTCCTTTTTCTTCTTTTTATGTTGTCATTTTAATATGTAATTGTTGTTGTAAAAGTGTTTGTTATGTAATATTAAAAAAGTATTAAAGTTAAAAAAGAAAATTATGTTATATTCCCTTTAAGTGTCACACAGAGGGCGGCTGACATTTGTGTGAGCTGTAATGGGATCGGGTTGCATGCATCTTGCTTCTCAAATTTTGGAAACTGCATTATTTTTCTCTGTACAAAATGGGTTCACTTATACTTTATGTTTACTTTATATTTACTACGGGCATTACTCTCTTTTACTATTACACATTACTACTCTTTGCTTCCAGCCCGTCAGCTGTCCATTACTATAGCACATAAGACATAAAAATAATTTAGACCTGACGGCTTCAAGGGTTTGCGAGTATTCTTCTTAAACAAATGATCGCTCTCGTCTGCCGAGCCCGCACTCCGACTCCCAATGCGCGACTCCTAAAATTAAAATGCAGGGATATTTTACTACAAGAACATTCAGCTAAATGAAGTCCAAATAAAGAACAGAAAACATTAAGTCCCCCGGAACCCCCTGCAGCGTTCCCGGTCCAAGTAACAATCGTGGTGCTCGAAGTGACGATCACGGATTGGCGCCGTGCACAACAGTCAATGGAGGATAGAAATCACCAGCACTCAGCAAATGAAGTAAAAAAAAAAAGAGCGTCCATGTATTTGGACCAAACGTCACATATATCGCATAATTCAACGTTTCGGGACCGCGCAGGGTCCCTTCATCACATCTCTGCCCTGATGAAGGGACCCGAAACATTGGATTATGCGATATGTGTGAGGTTTGGTCCAAATAAATGGACGTTATTTTTTTTGAACTTCATTTGCCAAGTGCTGGTGATCTCTATCCTCCATCAGAATTGCCCATCACTTTTCCTTCTACCGTTCAAGAATGCGCAATTCCAATACAATTCCCACAACTGAAAATAAGTAGGAAATCATTCAAATTGAAATACTCGAGTTTACTTTAAAAGTCTAACGTGATGCGCCTACATTCCTAAGGTAAAATAACTGAAGCCATAGGCAGAACAAGTGTCATCGAAATGTCTATGTAGAGCAGGGGTGGCAAACACAAGGCCCGCGGGCCGAATCCGGCCCGCCGGACCTTGTAATGTGGCCCGCACAGCAGCCACCTAATTTTGCCATGTCTCATGGCCCTATGTCAGTGGTGGCGAACCTATGGCACGTGTGCCAGGGAGGGCACGCGAGGCCCTTTCTGCTGGTACGCGAGCCAAGGTTCAGGCACCACAACATTAAGGCAGCCGAGCTGTCTAATGTCGGCAGGCGGGCGAGCGAGC